TAAAAATATTTTGCAGCCTGCAAATGCTGTCTGAGAGTGAAACACTGTAGTGTCTTGGAGAGGGCACTAAGCTCTCTCGGGGGTTAAAGAGAAAAGACACGCCCCTTAGCCTTAAGCCACCAGACATTGATGGGCATCTTAAAGGTGAGCAACAGACCAAACTGTCAAGTTCTCTGCACTCCCAGGCAACAAGTCTATTCCATTTAGGCGCCAAGCACTGTGATAGGTATGAACATTACAGCAAAATGTGCAATAAACCTGGTCCTCATGGCACCTGTAGTCTAGCATGGTGGCTGGACTGTTAAGAAAAAACATCTTTCAACTTATTCCAGTAGCATTCTGAATAGTCTCTGAAATTATACCTTGTATTACAACCAAACTAAGGCTTTTTTTTTTTTTTTTTTGCAGTTTTTGGCTAGGGGCTGGGTTTGAACTTGCCACCTCCAGCATATGGGGCTGGCACCCTACTCCTTTGAGCCACAGGCGCCACCCAAACTAAGGCATTTTTAATATGCCCTGCTGTGTCACCGGAGTGGCTGCTCCTCACAGGAGAGGTGCGGGCAGAGATGGCACTGCCAGATGCCATGTAAAGTCTTTTCTAAACCAAAGACTATTAATGGATGTGGAATAGTGAGAGGGGAAAGTTGTGGAGGAGAGTCTCAGGAGAGGCACCACCTGCTGCAAGAAGGGGCAGCACATTTTGGCAGTGTGCCCTTTGACAGATGTGGCCACAGGTGCTGAGGTGAACAAAAGGGGAAAGAGACTCACTCTCCAGCCACAGGCAGGCGCATCTGCTGAGCCTCTGTGCCTGCCCCTAAGTGACTCCTCCCAGCACCGCCCACATACCCGACTCTTACCAAGACAGAAGCCTTCTAAGGCATCCTCTGGCATCCATTCTTCTCCTTTTCCCATCTGAGAAAACATGTCTGGTTTGGGTCCTAAGAGTCCTGTTTTTGAGAATAAAAAAATATGAACCCCATCTGTTCATACCAGGGATAAAAACTTCAGCCTGGATAAGGCCTGGTCGTCTGAACTTCCTAGAATAGGTGGCTTGATAGGAGGCCTGGGGTGGCGATGTGTTTCCAGCAGGAGGAAAAGATGGCTTGGCCCTCACACAATCTATCTCCCTGTCCCTCTCCATGCCAGACAGGTAAGATCTGGCCCCCAATCCCTTCTGAGGCATCTGTTCTTGCACTCTTAGAAGGCTGGGCCCCAGACACTAAGGGTAGGTAAGTTGCTGCCTTGAAGACAGCTTCCTCAACTGGCCTGTTTCCAACCCAGTCTTCTACATGGAATCAGTTTAAGGGTCCCAAGAGATCCCCCAAAAAGGAAGAGGAAGCTTCTGAGGTGCCCACCTTACCCAGTGAAACCAGGTGGCTATAGTTCTCCAGCATCACATCCCGGTAGAGGGTCCTCTGGGCAGGACTCAGGTGCCCCCACTCCTCACGGGTAAAGAGCACAGCCACATCCTTGAAGGTCACAGATTCCTGCAACAGCAACCCGTTCCCACTGAGTGGGGCCTGCCCCTGCGAGTGGTTCCCCGGGGCAGGCTGAGACTGGCTGCCCCTGGGAGCTTGTGGAGACTCAGGATGCACAGAGGAAGCTAGCGCTCTGTGACAAGTTAAGCACTTCCTTGGGGGTCTCCTGAGGGCACAGCTTTGTATCAGACTGTTTCTCACTTTGAAAAAAAAAAAAAACACTTATTGTAGTGAAGACCTGCTTCCTCAGCACTGGGACTTCACACCACTGTTCATTTTGTCCAGAACACTCTTTTCCATCTCCCTCCAACTGTCCAGCTGCTCTGCCTCCAACCTCCTCCCAGCCCCCAGGACCAAATCCTACTCCCATCTCAGCTTAGACAGGACTTCCTTGGCACAGCCTTCCCTGACAGCTCCTGGAGTCACCTATAGGGGCCCATGAAAGCACTGTCCATTTTATTTGTGGTTTCTGGTTTGCTTTCAGTCTCCTGCACTGGACTGGTAACTCTAAGAAGGTGCAGATAAACTCATCCCTGTCTTCCTGTATCTAGAATGGGGCCCATGCACTAAGACCTACAATTTGTTGTTCAGACTCCCACTTTTCTTTAGCTGCTCACCTGCCCACCCCAGCACACACATACCCCATGGAAATGGTCATTCCATACAACAGAATCTTGTTCCCTATGATTGGTCCTTCCTTGGAAACTCTGAGATAGGGACAGAGAGAAAAGTCTCTATCAGAGTACCTGAACTCTGACACATAAAACTCTGTAGCTCTTGCAGCACGGGCCTCCCTGGCTGGCCAAGAGGTCATGGGAGCTGGTGTACACTGAGGAAGAGGCATGCAGGAGCCCCAAGGAAAACGTGGTAGATCTAATAGAATGGACTTTTGGATTATTTTAAACCAAACTCCTATAGCCAAAGTCCAGTTGTACTTTTGCCTTTATACTTGGAAACGCCTCATATCTTTCCAATAAATGTCCACTCTTGCCTAAGTGTGAATCAGGTTGCCATTACCTGCACCCAAAGCCGTGGCAGGTTTAAGGATGGTCACATTCATAGTGAAAATAGAACAATGATTGCCTCAGAGTTTTTCAATGACTAAAATGTATCCGCCTGCTTTCTTTCTCTGGCCAGCAGCCTCCCACCCTTGTGGATTTGTTTTCATAATTCATTGAGAAACCCAACAGGACCAAAAGAAAATGTAAATTCTTTCTCTTTACATTTCTCCAGCTCCTTTATCTTTTAGGATTTGTTCCTTTAAGCCTCAAGTGATTCCTGAGTGTCCCGGAAGGATGAATAATCAGGCCTAAGGAATGGAAAACACCTGGAAAAATTCAGTCTTCCATCTTGCCTGAGGAAAAAACTGACTTAGCATTCCCATTCACAACACCTTGTGAATTTCACTATCCTCAATCTTTCCTGATAGTTTTCCCCCCAAAATTCAGCTACCCACTGGACCTCAGGGCAGGCATTCTTCCTTTCTTTTTTTTGGGATGCTGGGCCAGGACCAGGGTAGGAGATTCTTTTTTTTTTTTTTTTTAATTGAATGGTAACTATGTACATTAATGCACTTCTGGGGTACAGTGTGGGGTTTTCACATGCAATCCGAACTACTTCCATCAAACTGGTCAACACAGCCTTCATGTCATTTTCTCAGTTATTGTTTTAAAACGTTCACATTCTACTCTTAGAAAGATTCACTTGTACCCCTATAAGGGTAGGAGATTCTGATGCTACCAGCCTTAAAGCATTTCAGGAGGGTGGGAAGAGAGTTGCCGTGACCAAGCCATTTGATCTCTGACCTGCTTTCTACCATTACTGTCCTCCAGGATGGCTGTATTCTTGTCAGGGTCATGAGGATTTATAGGAGCATGGGACGGGGGTTGCTGTAATCATGCAACTTGGTTTCTGACCTGCTTTCTTTCTCTGTCTCCCAAACACTTGTACTTTTGTTATGGTCCTGAGAATTTCTTCCCCCATGTTAGATAAACCATGTGACACCAACAATGACTTTGAGAAAAAGGTTAGGGAAGCAAAATCTCACAGTAGACTGGCATCATGGGTGGAGACAGGTTTCACAGAAGTTGGGGTGCGTGAGAGAGGTCAGTCAGAAACCTAGACTGGGAGGGTGACCAGGCGGAGCGGTGGTCACCTGGCTGCTCATCCCTTCTTATGATTCCTGCCATGCACGCCTGTCCTGGGAAGGTTTAAATGTGTAGAAACTAGAACAATTTTACCAAATACACCAGAATTTATACACTCAAATGCTGCCCCTTCAGAGTGGAGTTCTGGGTCTGCTCAAAGCGCTTTAGGAATTCCCTGAATTTCTTGGAAGCAGTATTTTGAATAATTTCACCAGTACCCAATATTCTGTGGTAAAAAGCCAAATGTAATTAAAAAAAAAAAAAACCAAAGTCCAGTAAATCCCACCTTACAGAGAAAGTACTGCCCTAACCACTTTAGACCCTTAATCTACTTGCTGGCGGAAAGAGTGTACTTGTTCATTTCACACAAACCTGGGATCCAGTCCCAGCTGTGTCAGTTACCCGATCTTCAGCAAGTTACTTTAGCAAGCTGGGCACTCCCATACCACGAGGATGAGCCCCATATACAGAGAGGTGAGGGAAGGAGGACGGCAACTGAGCTCAGATGCCTGGGTGAGACCTGACTGGGAGGAAAGCTCCTGGTCACGGGAAACCCCCACTCTTCAAATCCAGAAGGCAATTTAGAGGGAAGAAACTCCCACTCACCTGCACTGTGGTTGGCAGGTGGCTGACGGCCATTCTCTACTGAGGTGCCTCTTACAGACAGACGAAGTGCTGGCAGCCAGGGAGGTGTGGGGCTCAGCACCTGCAGGATGCCTCAGGCCGGCAGCGTCCACACACCGGCGAGAGGAGAGGATTAGGTCAGACCAGGCAGCAGTCCTGAGCCACTGCCGGCATTCACAATGGAAGTTTCCAGTAGCCCTAGCAGCCAATTCTTTGGTCCTATTTGCTCCCAGTTCTCTCTCCTGCCGCCGAGGGACTTCTGCTTGCCTTCACTGGAGAGTGACAACTCACCACGCGACTGCTTTTTCCTGTAGTTAGATTCTCCACGTCTTCCCTTCTGTAGCTTAAATACGTGACTTTTCGCAGAAAGCTTGCTCCAGCCCCAGTTCTCACGCTAGACCCACCCTCCGCCTCTGTGAGAGGTCTCAAGAGAATTGTGTCTCCTCCTGGAACCACCGCCTAAGGCGGCGAGGGGAGGAAGGCGGAGGGAGGGAGGGTCGTCTTCTTTCTCCTCAAAAGAGGCTAACAAGGGGGATCTTCACTGTCCGAGTCTTTCAGGCAAGCCCCTTCTCTGGCCTCAGTCTTCCCCTTCTCTGGGGCCCAGGGTGGGTGACCTGGAGTCAGGGGTGTGCCAGAAGCCGCACTTGTGTGTCGGGGGCGAGGAAATGAGAAATCTGATGCTTCCGGAGCTGCCGCAGGCTGCACAGCCGGTGCCCCTGCCTGGGCGAGATCCCCACTCTGGACTCGGAGCCACCCCTGAGCCGTGCCAGGGCTTCCCGGAGCTGCTCCGAGACACGGCGGAGGCCCCGACCCCCTCCTCCTCCACGTGCACTCACAGGCCCGCGCCCTAAACCCTAGATGCCCACACCGCTGTCTTCCCCTCTTCTGCTTGACTCGAACCTCGGACACACATTTCGGGAAGTTTGGGAAATCAGATCAGCGTCCTTCAGAAGGCAGCAGGACTCGGCCCTCCTAGGCTTTCCCTCCACCCTTCTCCCCAGGCCCGGCCGCCCCACGACCGCGCCCGCTCTCGCCCTGCGGCGTGGACACCGTGCCTGGTCGCCCCTGGGCTGCCCTCGGAGGAGCCCCTGTCGGCAGCGAGAGAGCGCGGCCTCCACATCTCAGTCTGACACAATGAGCGGAGTCCGCAGCCGGGACTGGAACTGCGCGTGCGCGTTACCCTGGGCACCGCAGAGCCGGCCTCCCACAGGCCTCAGAGCGGCGCGCTTCTACTTGGCCGACTCCACTTCCCAGAGGGCTCCTCGGCGGCCAGAGTTGTGCCCTGCGCCTGCGCACCCGGTCCCTGCCGGCAGAGGGGCTGCGGACGTGAGAACTACATTTTCCAGGGGCGCCAGTCCCTTCACTTCCGTAACTCCCGACGCGCTCACAGCGCTTACAGTTTCGGTTCCGCTATTCATATTCGGACTCGGCCTCTGCCTTGAATATCGCCTAAGAAGTTGAAGACCGGCAAAAAGTTGACGGTGGGGCAAAGGGGATAGTCTAGGGGAGCGGCGCCTGGTTGCTGCCGAGAGCGGATCGGGGACCAGCTGACCAGGCGCTTTCTCGACAGAGAAGCGCGCGTTAAAGTTTTGGGAAGGAGCAGGGTCGCGCCCGTGGCCCCGGGAAGCAGCCGACGCTTCTGTTAGGGCCGGGCTGTGGGGCTGGAGCAGGATTCGTCCGAGACGTAACAGTAATTCTGCATGTGGGATTCGGAGGGATTTTGGACCGGGTCATCCCGCTGCGGCGACTCGGGACAGAACTGGGGCCAGCGCGGCGGCCGAGGGGACGGACAGCGGGGCCCGGAGGGACTGGGTTCGTGGGGACCTACCTGATGAAGGGTGAGCGAGACCAGGGCTGGATGCCAAACAGCCTCTGTGTTGGACAGCTGGGTGATACTTAGAGAAGGTGTTTATGGACAGTATTTTACGGGGACGGGCGAGGATGAGACGGTAATACTTAACTAGCCTGAAAATATGTGCTTTTCATGGAGATCAGGAAGGAAAAATAAGAGGGTTTTAACTTTGTTGGTGGTGAAAAATTTGACCTGAGGTTTGTCACTTAGAGGATTTTTGGCCGCCTTTCAGGGAGCAGTGTCATAGTTTAAGTAGCGTTTTGGGAAATTCTTTTTGAGCAGGTAACATCTGAGTAGAGATATGAAAACAGGGAGTGAGGAAATCATAGGAGTCCCTGGGGAAGAGTCTTTTAAGGAGAAGGAACAGAAATACCGTCCCCAGAGGCAAGTACGTACTTGAAGAATTAGGATCGTGGCAAGACCATTATTCCTGGAATGGTATCGTGAACGGGAGAGCGTGAGATGCAGGGCCTTGAAGGCCATCGTGGAAATTTCAGATTTACTCTGTGATGGGAAACCATTGGCAGGGTCTAAGCCAGAGTAACTTGGCTGAGCACATTTTTTTTTTTGTTTGTTTGTTTTTTGAGACAAAGTCTTAAGCTGTCGCCTTGGGTTAGCGTCACAGTTAACAGCAACGTCAAACTCTTTGGCTTAAGCGATTCGCATGCCTCAGCTTCCGAAGTGGCTGGGACTATAGGTGCTCGCCACAAGGCCCGGCTATATTTTTTTGCAGTTTTTGGCTGGGGCTGGGTTTGAACCTTCCACCTCCAGCATATGGGGCCGGCGCGATACCCCTTTGAGCCACAGGCGCCGCCCCCTGCCCCACTCCTGCTTTTTTGTTGCTGTTTTAGCTGGCCCTGGCCAGGTTGGAACCCCCCAGCCTTAGTGTATGTGGCTGGCACCCTAGCCACTGAGCTACGGGCGCGGTCACTGAGCACATTCTGGTGGAATCACTGGTCAGCACTGGGGAGAACAGACTGTGGTGGGGCTAGAGGGGAACAAGGAAACCAGTTAGGAGGCAACTGCAGCAGACCTTTAAAGGGTGATCTCGACCAACTTGAGTATCTTTCATGGAATTTCAGAATTAGGTCAGAAGGAAGCTGAAAGGTCACTAGATAGGATCTTTCTTAGATATGAGAGCAGATGCTGATGTTTGGGTGAAACATTAATGGTAAGCAAGGACACCACCACAGTGAGGGGTGGAATGAGACAACAGGGGCCCATCCCAAGGGAGTACTGGCAAGAGCAGGAATGGAGAGACTGGCAGAACACCACCATGGGTCCTTGGCTGCTGGTGGCCCCCCCCTTGCCTTGAGGTCTGGCTATATTATATTTCAAATTACAAAGAAAAGTTCTTGCCTCGAATACTACCAAAACTTCAGTTCTACCTGGGAATGGACACGGAGGGGCGGGCTTGGCCTTACAGGATATAACAGCACTAGTTTTTTCTTGCAGACCTTTATGCTCTGCATGCTCTATCCAGGTGTTTCCCAAATAAACAGCAACTCTTCTCTTATTCCAAGATTGGAGGCTTGAGGAGGATGGGGCAGATCAGTGACATTAAGCTTCTCCACTCTTCTGACACACACACACACACACCCTCTCTTGTGACACCTCTGCAGGTCCTGGGTCTCCCTGGCTATCCAGAAACACAAACTGTTGGAGTTAGAACAGAGAAAAGAAGAAGGGGAAACAGGATACTGAACTGAGACCATCCTCCGAAACACAGGTGTCTAACAATCCCTATAACTCACAGTCTCCATCTACATTGTCTTTCTTGGTCCTCACTGAAATGCCCCCAAACGGAACTCGTCATTGGCCCACAAAATCAATGAACTTTATGTTTTTAGTTCTGCCACCCTGTCCACCCAAATTAGAAATTCAAGTCACCCCCGACTCCTTACTCAAGTGGCCATATTTAGTTAGCCAGTTTTCTAGATTTTTCCTCATTATTGCTTGAATTCTTCTTTTCTTCTCCCACCACACTACCACTTTATTAGTTTAGCCTTTAGAAGACAAAAATATTTTATTCATTTTGATTTTGTCTAGCACATATTTAGGACTTGGTAAATGTGTGTGAAATAAATGAAACTAAAATACTGTAACAACCATAGATCCATAAAATCTCCCTATGATTGTTTTGAATATGTTTTGAATTGCAGTGTTTTGTATGTCAGATTTCCATGTCTCTTAGTGTTAAGCCCTCCTCTTTCTTCTTACTTCAATAGACAGAATATGACACAAAGATATGTATTTCTTTGATTCCTATGTACTTAAAGAGTATATTTGTTACATTTATAAATAATCAGCTTATTTAACAACAGTTTAATGACTATTAATTGAGATCTCAAAAGAGCATGCTCTTACATTAAGATCTGTACAACTGGCTTGGCGCCTGTGGCTCAAGTGGCTAAGGCAACAGCCACATACACCTAAGGTGGTGGGTTTGAATCCAGCCTGGGCCCGCCAAAAACCAACAATGATGGCTGCAACCAAAAATTATCCGGGCATTGTGGCAGATATCTATGGTCCCACCTACTTGGGAGGCTGAGGCAGAAGACTTGCTTAAGCCCAGGAGTTGGAGGTTGCTGTGTGCTGTGATGCCACAGCACTCTACCCAGGGGGATAGCTTGAGGCTCTGTCTCAAAAAAAAAAAAAAAAGATCTGTACAATTATTCTATGGGAGGGGAAGGGACATGGAAGGGCAATAGGAGTTGGTACATGCAGGGCTGGGCGCATAATCCTAAGATTCTGAGAGCCCGAGATGGGCGGATTGCTTGAGGTCAGGAGTTTGAGACCAGCCTGAGCAAGAGTGAAACCCTGTCTCTAAAAACTAGTCAGACATTGTGGTGGGCGCTTGGAGTCCCAGCTACTTGGGAGGGTGAGGCATGAGGATCATTTGAGCCCAGAAGTTTGAGGTTGCTATGAGCTATGACACCATGGGCACTTTACCCAGGGTGACAAAGTGAGATTTGTCTCAAAAAAAAAAAAAAAAAAAGAAGTAGGAGTTGGTAGAGGTAGAGAATTTTGATTCAGAACATTCCAGGAAACCAGGCTGTGGAACAGAAGCATCTAGACAACATATATAACATAGTAAAAGTTCAAGCATTTCCTGGCATTCAGTATATTTACAGGTGTATAGCACTTTAGAGTTAATACGGATCCTGAAAACATTTAAATCCCAAATTAGTCTTACCAGATGAAGAAACTGTGACATGGTGAAAGTAGGTGCCTTAACCCAAACCACATACCAGGTCTTTGAGCTGTCCATTAAGCACCTTCACATTTTCTCTCTGGGGTCAAGTCTCTGGAAAATATCCAAGGCAGAATCTGCGCTAGGATATAACAGAACTTACCTTTCGGCATGAATTGTCATTGTTTTTAATGTTAGCTCCTTCTATCTCCTGATGTAAAGTCAGTTTTACCTTCTGAATTAAGAGTTCTCCACTTTTATCTGGTTACTCTGCAGTGGTCTGTATGGTATATATCTGGCACAGTATGCTATATTTCAACCAAAAGATTCCCACAATTGTTACATTTATTAGGTTTCTACATTAATGATATAACTGGTTACTAATGAAAGTCAATCATGTGGAAGGGGACTTTCCTCACGTGTGAGTTCTTTGATGTCGTGTAAGGTTTGTGCTCCGGCTGAAGGCTTTTCCACAGACATTACACTGATAGGGCTTCTCTCCTGTATGAGTTCTCTGATGCACTGTAAGGGAGGAATTCTTAATGAAGGCTTTTCCACACTGATCACACTCATACGGTTTCTCACCAGTATGAATTCTTTGATGCTCAATGAGGTATGCGCTCTGGCTGAAGGTCTTTCCACATTCATTGCATTCATAAGGTTTCTCTCCAGTGTGAATAACCTGATGTACAGTAAGGGATGATCGCCCAGTGAAGTGTTTTCCACATACCATGCACTCATAAGGTTTCTCTCCAGTATGAATTCTTCGATGTTGAGTAAGAGATGAATTCTTACTGAAAGCTTTTCCACACTGATTACATTCAAAAGGTTTTACTCCAGAATGAAGTCTCTGATGTTCTATAAGGTATGTGCTTTGGCTAAAGGATTTCCCACATTTGTTGCATTTGTAGGGTTTTTCTCCAGTGTGATTTCGCTGATGTAGGGTCAGAGTTGAGCTCTTACTAAAGGCTTTTCCACATTCACTACATTCATAGGGTTTCTCTCCAGTGTGACTTCTCTGATGTACAATAAGGTGCATGCTTTGACTGAAGGCTTTTCCACATTGGTTACATTCATAGGGTTTTTCTCCTGTATGAGTTCTCTGGTGCACTGTCAAATTCATGCTTTGGGTAAAAGCTTTCCCACATTCATTACATTTGTAGGGTTTCTCTCCAGTATGAATCCTTTCATGTTGAATAAGAGATGAGTTCTTACGGAAGGCTTTTCCACACTCTTTACACTGATAGGGTTTCTCTCCAGTATGTGTTCTTTGATGAACAGTAAGATTCATACTCTGACTGAAGGCTTTCCCACACTCATTACATTTGTAGGGTTTCTCTCCAGTGTGAATCCTTTGATGTACAGTAAGGGAGGAGCGTTCAATGAAGTGCTTCTCACACACATTACACTTAAAGGGTTTCTCTCCGGTATGAATCCTCTGGTGCTTAAGAAGGGAGGAGCTCTGGCCAAAGGTTTTCCTGCACTCATTACATTCATAGACTTTATTTCCTACAAACATTCTTTGAGTTTTAGTTAACTCAGAATTTCGTTTGGCATCTTTTTCATGTGAATTCCAATGATGGGGCCTTTTTGCCACACAAATGTGTGGTTGCATATCTTGGATTGAACCCTGACTGAAAAGCCTTTCAAATTTATGACCTCCACATACCTTCCTCTCAGGGCAGACTTCCTTGGTGTAGGTGCCACTTGGCCCTGACGTCTGTCTTGGATGTTTTGTTGCCTCTCTAACTAATGATCAGAATTCCAGCTTTTCCTTAAAGTAGAACGCCAGAGACCTTCCCTTTCCATCACCCCATCAGGCAAATCTCCAGTAATGTTGGGCTTTGGAACTGACTCTTTGGTTTCAAGTCTTGTTTCCCAGTCTGGAAAAAATAAAAAAATTAAAAAAAAAATCACGTTTGCTCCTGTATCTGGAAACAGAAAACTCTATCAAGTGGGAATAAGAACAGAGCTAGAGGCTCGGCACCTGTGGCTCAAGCAGCTAAGGCGCCAGCCACATACACTTAAGGTGGTGGGTTCGAATCCAGCCTGGGCCTGCCAAACAACAATGACGGCCACAACCAAAAAATAGCCGGGCATTGTGGTGGGCACCTGTGGTCCCAGCTACTTGGGAGGCTGAGGCAGGAGACTCACTTGAGCCCAGGAGTTGGAGGTTGCTGTGAGCTGTGATGCCAAGGTACTCTACCCAGGGGGACAGCTTGAAGCTCTGTCTCAAAAAAAAAAAAAAAAGAACAGAGCTACAATAACTACTGGGCACATCTGAGAGCTTTCAAAGCTGTCCCTACAATTGGAGAAGGTGGGAAGAAGGGAAAGAACATGGAGCTGGCCCACAGTTAACAGGATGGCAGATCCACTGGGGAAACAGAGAAGAGTGAGCCCTGTCAGCAGTGGGCAAGCCAAATAATGAAGGTGGCATTAAGGGAAACTAGACAGAAGGGCAGGAACTGGCAGGGGCAGGTTGGAGGGTGCCGTAATGTGGCCCTGCTGTTCCTACTAGCAGTTTCCTCCCTCTAGCAAGGCTGCCTGGGATTCTGCACCAAGTTCATATTCATAAAACATCACAGTATGACACAGTGAAAAGACTGCTGACCGGGCATCAAACTTGGATTCAAACGCTGGCTCTCAACACCATCTTGTCTAGTTACTTGTCTCTCTCAGCCTGAGCCTTCACATATAAATGAGGATAACAATAATCTGATCAGGAGTAAGTAAAATAACGTATGTAAACTACACTTTGGGAACATACTTACCTGGAACATAAAGTACCAGAAAATACTTGAAACTTAAACACTTGAAGGAGGATGAAACAACATAAAAGTTTTTTTCCCCTTAAACTTTGAACAGGCTGTAGTTTTCTCACAGGAGTAAGAGTTTTAAAGGGCTCTGCCCTATCCTACATCCTTTCTTTAGAGCTGAGAAATGGTGGTAGGGACAAGCAAGGGGTTATCTGGTGAATGAATGGCCTGAGAAGGGCAGAAAAGAAGACTTTGTAGCCCTCAGACTTTATTTTCCCAGGTCCCATTTCTTATCCCAGATAATTGACGAGTAGAAGAAAGGAATTACAACCTGAGAATCAGCTTTATGACTATGGCTCAAAATCAACAGAGTAGAGAAATACAGTGAACCAACAGTTCACAGCCTGTGAGCACAGGCTCTACTGTGAAGCCAGAGTACACGCTGGCCAGGCCCTTCCCTCCAGCCTGACCTGCTACATAGAAGGAAAGGAAATGCAGCAAGTCAAGCAGGCTTCACATCCAAACATAGCACCAAGGAGCCCCAAAGAGAGGGTACTCAATTCAGTGTGAAAATACCAGCCAGCAGCACAGAGTTGGAGGCTGTCCCTTGTCCCACCTCACTGTGGTCACACCCAGCTGTCCAACTCAAGCTCACTGGGAAGGTTCCAAGTGATACCCAATAGATGGCTAAAAGAGCCAAGGAAGATCCTTCACACTAGTAGACAAGTAAAAGGCCAGACAGAACTGCCTTTATGCAAAGGTAAGTGATATCCAGAAAATACTAAGTTTGGAAATTATGTAGAGGTTCAGGAGATAAATTTTAAAAACAATAAAAACAGGAGAATGAGAAGAAAGAAGCATATAAACCAAAAGGTAGAATAAAGAAGCAGAGCCATCCATTAAAAGACACAGCTAAAAAAGCAGCTGCTACCCATTTAGAGAAGATGTTTACCACATGAGGCCCACACAGAACTAGAACCTAGATATGGAAAACAATGTCTGTGAAACACTAAGCCCACTAGAAAAATGTGCAATAAAACTCTGAACAAGCACTTGAGAAGGGAAACCCAAATGGCCTGTAAATGGAAGCAAAGCTGCCTGATCTCAATGGCAACAGGGGGAAGGCAGATAAAAGCAGCAATGCCTTAGCATTTCCATGTCCACTGAGGAATAAAATGTAAAAATGCAGAATGATACTATGAGTGTGCAAGTTGGTTCAAGTATTAGAAAAATGTTTTAGTGCAACCTGGAAATGTAGGCATATAGATTATGATTTAGCAAATCCACTCATAGGAGTAGAGATAAGTCTGCCTTGCAGCAGTACACCAGCACTCAAAATTTTTAAGTATCAATGTGCGCAACAGCAAAAAACTGGAAATAACCCACATGTCTATCCATGAGAGAATGGATAACTAAATTGTGAAGTATTTATACCATGGAATAACTAACAACAGTGAACATTAATCATTATGAATAACTTAAGCAAAGACACAAAAACTATATATATAGTAAAATACTAAAGTTCTCAAAGTTTTAAAGTAAACTAACACTAAATACATTGTTTAGCAATTCATTGAGACGTGACAAAACTATAAAGAAAAGAAAGAGAAGAAATTATGACAGTCAGAATAGTGGAAACATCTTGGGTAGAGGTGAGAGGATGTAAACGAGGAGACACACAAGGATTCCCAAGACACTAGCAACACTCTATTTCCAATTAGGTTCTGATACCTGGGTATCTGTTTCCTTTATTCTTTATCTGTCTTTGTCCCTATGAATTATAAAGTGAACCAGTATGGCATGATGGTTAAGAAGACAACTCTGAAGATAGGTAACCCGGCTCACATTGAGCTCCACCATTATTGGTTTGTGACTGTCAGGTTTCATAACCTCTCTATGCTCCAGTTTCCTCATCTGTTAAATGGTATGTATAGCATAGTGTCGATACAAGAACAAAAAGTACTCAATATTTATAAAGGCTAAAAGTACATAGGTTTTTGTTAAATAGTATGTGTAAAGTTTTTGTTAAATAGGTTACACCTTCTTTAGTATATATATTTCAAAAATCAAATGAGAAGAATAGGAAAGTATTTGGTACTCTGGAAAATATTAATCATTCTGAGTTCAAACATCCTTTTGTGCTACAGAAAACTTAATAGCAGATATTCACTATATCTTTATGGAGTTTAGAGATCTAACTTAAGATTTAGTTCTGAAGACTGTCATTAAGAAGAAAAACAGGCTCGGCGCCTGTGGCTCAAGCGGTTAAGGCGCCAGCCACATACACCTAAGGTGGTGGGTTCG